TGATGGTGGAGGTGATGGTGGTGTTGGAGGTAGACGTGATGATAAGAATACTAATGTAAAAAGTGGTGGTGGGTGTTGGCAGGGATAATGACTCCTGGTCATGGCAGTGGTCACTGCTGCCTTTTCTTCTACCCTCCCCCTGCACATGCTGAGCCTGGTTTCTGGGCTGTCCTGGCCCCCAGAGAACTCTCTTCTCTGATGAAGAGGGTTTGAGGGCTGGCAGTGCCATGCCAGGGACAAGCAGAGAAAGCAGAAGAGAAAGAGAAGGGTTAGCAGGGCAGATACCCTGTCCAGCTGAAAGTCTCAGGAAGCTAGAGGGGCGGGAGGCTGTGCTTACCCCAGCCCGCTGCACAGAGCTTGAGCATGTATCTGCGGATGTAAGTGTTGTAGACACGCCCGAGGAGAAGGTAGAGGTTGAAGCCTTCAATGGCCATCCAGGTGAAGCAGCTGAGCAGCGCATAGTGCAGGATGGCAGCCAGCGCCGTGCATGCTGACCCAGGCACGCTGGGCATGGCCAATGTGGGGCTCAGCAGGAAGGCGACATTCAGGAGCAGCACGGAGGTGTGCAGGTTCATGTGGATGTATGTTATGGAGTCACTCTGCTTCCTGAGGGTAGGAGCATGGCCTTCTGTGGTCTGGAGGCATCGCACGGGCAGCACAGCCCCCTGGGCTCATAGACACACTCGGGATACGTGGGGGTAGGGGGGGAGGGACCCAATAGCAGCCTCTCAGTGAGGCTTGTCTCCTGCCTCCTGGCCTCCGTCCCCCTGAGAAGCCCACCCCACTCTGGGGACCAGGTGGGAAAGAAGGAAGCGTGCTGTGCAGCAGTGGGTGGGCAGGCCCGGCAGTGGGGCAGGGGACTACCTGGCAAGAAAGTGCAGCAGGATACTGAGCAAGGAGGCCATGATGGAGACGCTGCAGCCCACAATGGAGATGTACGTGAGAGGCGCCAGCAACTCTGCAGGGACCGGGGCTGGGGAGATTTGCTGTGGGAGGGAAGGATGGCTGAAGCAGGAAGCATGGAAATGCGTCCCACCCAGGCTCCGTTGGAGAGATGTGCCAAGACCTCAGCTCCAAGTTCCCCCCCACCCACCACCACCACCACCCCACAGTCCTCACCATGGTCTTGGCTTGATAAAAGCCACGGTAGACACAGTGGCTTCCCCCCTGCCCACTCCCGTCTCCCCTTTCTCTATGGGATCTCCCCTTCCTTTGTGAGAACCTCCCCTCCCTCACTCTCTATGCACATGAGTGGACTCAACACTTCTCTCACTGTGAGTGGACAGGGGCACCAGGCCTGGCCAGTCAGAGCCCTCCCTCCTCCTGCCCACAGAGATTGGTTAAGGCTGGTGGGAGGGGCTCAGCTGCAAGATTTTGGCTGGCAAAATTGGGGAAGAGGCGCTTTCATTCTACTGGCCTAAAAGCTAGTAGGAGGTGAGCCTGGAACTGCTAGCAGCCATATTATAATCCCATGGAGAGAACCTGTCTGAGGGCTAAGCCAGTGCAAAGCCAACACAATTGAGAGACAGAGATAAAGTCCTTTCTTTATCTGATACTGAGCTCCTGGATTAAGCTCTGCCTGAAGCCTAAACCAGCCTTTTCAAGAACATAAGCCCATACGTTTCTTTTGTGGTTTTTTTTCCCCCTAAACCCATTTGAGTTGGATTTTCTGTCCCTGGCACCAGCCTTTGCCTTCCTCCTCTGTCCTGAGCAGGAGACTTCTGCGGCTCTGACCACCCTCCCAGGCTGGATGCGCACATACCATGAGAACAGCAAAGTAGCTCAGGTGGTTGCAGCGGCAGAGCACCTGGGAAGGTGAGGGCTGCTCTGTGCGACAGCCCTCAGGGCTCCAGACCCCCCAGTGGCTCTTGCTGGCTCCCTCCTTCCAGAAGACACAGGTCACTGAGTAGCCTTCCTAAGGAGAGATGCTGGAGTTGGGTGCATCCAAGGGCTGCAGGGGAGGGCCGTGGATCAGGGTCTGGAAACTGTGGGGGCCAAAGGTAACTCCACTGCACCCTTGTCAACATTTTACCAGGCACTGGCTGGGGTTTGCCCTCAGGCTGGCCCGCATTCTAGCCACACCTTCATACAGACTCTGAGAGTGACTTGGGCAAGCCACAAAGCTTCTCCGAGTCTCATTTGATTCATCTGCAAAATAGGATCATTTATACCAAGTCACAAAGACGGTGGAAAAACGAAAGGCAATGAGGACTCTTGAGTGCCCAGCTCCCGTCTACACAGTAGGTTCTCTGCAATCTGCTGCCCCTTCTCCCTACTCCCTGTGGGGAGCAGTGATGGTCCAGGCCCTCCCAGCGCAGGAGAGAGATTCAACCACAGACAACCCTGACGCTAAGCCATGTGGGTGGAGGGGTAGGAGGTGTAACACAGGCAGTGCCATGAAAAGCCACGTAGGAAGGGGCAGGGGAGTCCTGAGGAGGGAAGAGACAATTAGGGCGCCAAGACCTTAGAGGACACGTTGGATTTCAACAGACTTGGAGCAAAAACATTCCAGGTGAAACTAACTGCAGAGGAATGAAAGGGAAGGATGATGGTGAAATTGAGAGTGTAGAGGAGGGGCTGATGGGAAGATAAGGCCAGAGCATAGAGACTCTGGACTTTTCAAGAATGCCAGACAGAAGAGCAGAGGCATCAGGGCTTGCGCCCACCCCACAGCCCTTTCCCCTTCATCCTGTATCAGCATCTGCACTTCCCTTGAGGACCCACCCCGCCCCCAATGGCAGGTCAGATGAATCCAGCCTGGTCCCTGGGCCATGCAACCCAGGCCTGGCCAATCCACACATCCCATCTCTCTGGGCACAGTGATGGTTCAGGGATGGACACGTGACCCAGCTGGACCCTTAGGAGTCATTCTGGGACTCTGGTTTGCACTGGCGAGAAAGAGCCTGGTGAGAAGAGGGGAAGGCAGTCCAGGTTTTCAGCTGCCATCTTGCCAAAGACTGGCGAGCCAAGCCATTGCAGAGAGATGGAGAGAGGCTGAGCCATTATGGTGTCATGTCAGCCCCTGGATCCAGCCGTGCCTGAAGCTGAAAGAGCCCTAAACATTTCATTCGTCTGAGCCAATAAATTCTCTTTTGTGCTTAAGTTGGCTGGAGCTGGTTTTCTATCATTTGCAACTTAAAGAATCCTAACTAATGCAGTGAGTAAATGCTTCTCTTTCTTATTTCTTTGGCAGGAATTTTCAAAATATGATGGATTTAAAACAGTTGGTTTCCAAAATGGTTCCACGGGTTTGGGTTTGGTCAAACCAGTGTTCAACAGGACAGCCACAAGGGGGCAGGGGTGGGGTGGAAACGGAGGTGCCCCCACAGTACCAGGCTTTGGTTGTGCCAGAAGCTGATGTTGATCATCTCTGTGAGGTTGTTCACATGTTCATGGTCCAGCTGGGCCCCCAGGACGTAGTTATTGAGCAGAGATGAGTTGATGTCAATCTGGAAGGGCAACAGAAGAAGAGCTGACTGGAGAGGACACAAGGAGACCCTGGACAAGGTCCCAGAGCCCCCGTCTCCAACCCCTCCTCCCTGGATGAGAATCAACAGCATGACTTCATGTGTATAATGTGTGCCAACCTGGAAAGCTGTTTTCTCACCACCCCCACTCCCACCCCCCTCTCCACCTCCCATCTGTTTAATGGATTCCAGCCTTGTACCCTCCACTTCACCACTATCCTAACTCACTTTCAAAGCCAAGGTTAAAAGGCACTCTCTCCAAAAACCCTCCTGGACTGCTCATTGGGAACAACCCTGACCCCACACTGACTCATACATCACTTTGTATCTCTACGGTTATAGTCAACCTTGAGCTAAAATTAAGTCTCTAAGCTCCTAGTCCAATTGTCAAGATAGAGAGTTCTCTGAGGACAGGGATCCTGTGACCTTCTTGTCTGTCTCACCCATAAGGTCATGCACATACATGATAGGTTTCCCTAAGTCTCATTTGCACATTGTAATTGCACATCCCACCATTCTGCTAAAACTGAAGCCCAGAGAGGGGCACTGGCTGGATCAGGTTGCACAGTGGACTGGTCCACTGGTACTGGTTCCCACCCAGAATCCTGGCAGTGGCATGGGTGCCTGCATCGCCCCCAGGAAGGGGCCAGCGCCCCCCATCCTGGGCCCACCATGGCGCTGACCTGGAAATAGCGGGCAGTGAAGAAGTAGATACAGATGAGACGCAGATCCCTGGAGCGGGTCCTACAGGTCTCCTGGGTCAGCTCAGCCGGGAACTGCATGGCATGCCGGGTCCTGGCCTGCAGAAGCCAAAGGCAGGCTGAGCCTGGTGTCCGAGGTCTCCAGATTGGCCCCAACACCTTCCCTGGCCCCCAATTCCCAGGAAGTCTTCCTGACTTCCCCTGGCATTTCCTGCCTCTCCTTGGGGCCTCCACCTACAGAACCCCCCTCCCTGGCTGCACCTCCTCCCAAACTTCTTGAGATCCAGGCCTTCTCTCCAGCTGCTCCAGTGTTGAATCTGGGTTATTTACCCCACCCAATTTGGCCCCAGGAGTAGGGAGTGGCTCAGCCCACAGCACCCAGGCATTCAGCAGGAATCACACCAGGCTTCTCAAAGGAGCCCAGATTCCCTTGCTTCTCCCGCTGCTGCCACCCCCCTCCCCACCATGGGCCTGCAAAAGTAGGAATAGGACACTGACCTAGAGGGGTCACAAAACACCCCCATTTCTCTCATTCATATGAGGAACATCAGCCCCATTTTACAGAAAAGGCAACACACTTGTAGGGTAAAATCCAGGTTTGGGAAGGGGGTGTGAGGCAGAGAGGGGAGTGGAGCCTGGGGAAAGGTCAGGCCTTAAACCCCTAGAGGATTTCTGAGGTGGAGGCACTGGCCACCCTCCCATCCCCCCAACCTCCCCCCCATCCCCTGGTTGCCTCTGACCTGAGGGACCGGCTCCAGGGCCTCACTGTTCAGCGAGAGGCCAGCAAAGTCACAGCCCAGTTTGAAAACCAGCGTCTGAATGGTGGATGTCTGCAAGGTGAGATTGTTGCCCTTGAAGGTGGCATTCAGCAGCCTACACTCCAGACCATGAATGGACCTGAGGGCAAGAGAAACAACCATAGCCCAGAGTGGGGGTGGGGCCAGAAGGGCTCCAGACAGCCTGGGACAGCAGGCCCTCCCCCATGCCTTAGCCCTGTAGCTCCCACCTCTGTACCTTTGCACACACAGTGTCGCTGGCACACTTTTCTCCCCCATTCCACTCATCCCATTCTCCTGATTAATTCTTGTTCAGGTCCCAGTTTGTTGACACCTCCTCCAGGAAGCCTTCCTTGGTTGCTCCTTGCTGACTGACTGAAGTGCCTCCATAGTCCCTGGCTTCCCTAAAAATCCCTATCCAGCATTTGCTTCTCATTCAGAGCTGCTTGGCCTTTGGGTCACAAACCCTGGGGAGCCCAGCCTGAGTTTTGGAGCCACTTCCAAAAAAAAATGCACAGAGATTCATGATTCTGTACCTAGTTTCATGGCATCCATGGTTAAGAGTCCCCAACCAGACAGTAAACTCCATGAGGGCAGAGAGATATGTCTCTCCAGCATTTCCAGAGGCTAGTGTCAGGCACACAGTAGATACTCAATAAATGCATGTTGAATAAATGAATTAATGGTCTATACTAGACCAAACCTGGACACTGATTCAATGTGCAAGCTGGGGACGAGAGGCACAGCTGACACTGGTCAGGCCAAGAGGGACATGCAACTCACTCAGCAAAGGAAGTCGAGGTCCGTCCCTTGGCCACATTCTCCATTCTCCTCATCCAGCTCAGGGCCTCCTGGGATGCCTCTGTGGGGAGTGAGTCAGACCCCCACCTCAGCCTCTGTCCGCAGCTGCCCCCCAACCCCATGGCCTCTGGGCCACCCGCTCAAGCCTGGGGCTACTAACTCACCTTGCTGCTGCCTCAGGCCTAAGTGCCCCATTTCAAGCTCCCTTGGTTTGAGGCTTCCCCCTTTCATATCACAATCAGGGGCCTGCACTAGGATTGCCCCTGCAACTCAAAGGAGCCCGCTTACCTGCTGTCCCACGCTGAGAAGACACAACACACAAACAGAGAAAAAGGGTTGCACAGTAATCCATGTCCTATGCCAGGTCTCCTCCAAGAATCAGGTCCCACCCTGGAAAAGGTGCATGTTGTCATCATCATGGTCAAAGAGTGACCTCTAACTTCTAGATAACTTTAGGTGTCTGGCATGTTCCAAGGGTAGGACATACAGCACGTTAGTTGATCCTCATTATTCCTGCATTTCACAGATGAGGCAACTGAGGCTCAGAGAGCAAGAGGCCTTGCTTTGCTTGAGGCTGCCTGACGCCAGGTCTCTGTGACTCCAAAATCCTTGACCACTTAGTAACACCTGCCATCAGCAGCTCTGCCACCTTCCCAAAAAGGGGCCTCTCTGGGGGGCTTCCCTAGGGCCTTGACCTTACCTAGAGGAAAGTTGCTTGGGAGCAAGCAGCATGTAACCCTGTGCAACACTTTGTTAACCCATCATGTGACTTTGGGCAAGGACTTGGCCCTCTCCGCCCTCATTTTCCTCGGTTTTAAAATGAACTAATAAACTTCTGCTCAATGACAGCAAACTTATGTCTACTTCCTGAAACTCCACTAAAATGAGAGTGAGTGAATAAAAATAGACACCAAACCACAAAGACAGAGCAATAGGAAAGAAGACACAGCAGATGAGTGATGTCAGCAAACTTTGGAGCTACAAAGCAGGTGGCCACCTTGTGATAGATTTAGCAGACCCCAAAACGTTGAACCAGGGCCGGCCGAGTGGCGCGTTGGTTAAGAGCTGGCTTGGGATGCCAGAGGGCCCCGGTTCAGATCCCACATATGAGGGCCAGTGACACTGCCCTCCACAGCTAAGATGCTGAACAACAGCTCAACCTGGAGTTGGGCTGGCGTGAGATGCCGGCAACGGTGTAGGCTGCAACCCCTGTGGCAGTGGGTTGCCATGGGCTACCGTGTGTAGCCAGCAGCCAGCGTGAGCGGCCAGCAGCCGCAGTGAGCGGCCGTCCAGAAGCCGGCAACTGATCTGCCTCTCCTGGGAAGAGCACAATGATGGTGCCAACTTGGGCCAGTGAAGCAATGTCCTCCACAGCTAGACTGAAGAACAAAACGACAGCAGCTTGTCTGTTCCCCTTCCCCCAATTCCCCAGCACTGTTCCCATCCCCCCAATTCCCCAATAAAAAAATAAAAATAAAAATAAATCTTAAAAAAAAATTTTGAACCAAAGTGCTGCCGTGGAGAGAGATATGGAGGAGTTGGGAAAAGGGAACAGGGAGAAGTCAGCTAGTTCAAGCCTCACAACCTTGAAGACACTTGAGAGCTACAGGCATGCAGGAACCCCTGAAAGCCAGAAGGAGGGTGAGGCTGAAAACAGGGGATTATTGGTTGTGAGTCTCAGGAGGGAGGTCTCAAAGAATAAAAGAAGGAAGAGAATATACAGACTATCAAAAATTCTTTTGAGAAATGCCCTTATAAAAAGCTTGCAAATGAAAAATAAAAACAAGCAATTAATTTCAGAAAAACCAAGCTGTACAGGAAAGAAAATGTAATCTTGCTACACAAATTGACTTAATAGGGGATAAAATTTATATGGTCATAATGAAAACATTGAAGAGGAGATTTATTTTTTTAATTGTGTAAAAACTGTATTAAAATGATTTCGACTTTCACTTACAATGTAGAGCCACAAGAGAACACCACTCCCATATTGACAATGGGAAAAGCCAAATAACATAAAAAATTAATTTTTGAGCCCTTTAGAGAGCTGAAGTCACACGGTAACCAAGTAAGCTGATTTCCAACAGCCAATAAGCCCTTCAAGGGCAAACGGTTTCACCTCTTACAGAACACAGGAGGAAGAGGTAATCGCCACAAAAGCTGCAGAAAAGAAAACTGATATCTTAGTGAATTCTTAAAAGCTGTGTGTGACCTAGAGTGACAATTTAGAACCCCTGGGAGCCCCAGGTACAAGGGGAGTATGTTTCTTCCCACAGCTTTCTGTTGGGTGCTCATGAGAATGACTGGGGTGGGGCAGAGACCTGAGAGAGCCCCAAAGCTGACATAGACAGGCAGGACCTATCAAGGTTTGAGAGTATAGCAGGGGTACCTGGAGAAGCCATCTGAGCTCTGGGCCATGCATGAGTACAAAGTGGTGATTGGCTGCTGCTAGAGATAGGCATCTGTACCCTGGCCTTCATCTGATATGACATCCTCATCCCACAGGCCCCTGACCTACTACCAGAAAAAGGCCTGCCACCTCTGATGGGGAAACCCATTGTATACAGAAGATGAAAAACCCACCTACCCCCAGCTCTGCACTGACACTAGGCAAAAGCCATCTGCCGCTGGCAAGGAGCAGGAAACCCACTAGTACCCAGGATTTTGCACTGATATAAAGCAGAGGGCTAATGCTGAAGCTGCTTCTGCAGAAAAGACAGGAACCTCACTCATACCTAAGACACTCCCACACACACACATCAAAACAAGACATAGTTTGACTCCCATGGGGGTGAAGAACAGGAAGTCTGCCCATGCTCTAGCACCTATTCTGAATGAGAGGCAAAGGTTGTCAATGGAGAAGAATCAAATCAGCTAAAAAGAGCCCCACTCCTGGAGCTCAGACACAAGGCTTTCTAAGACTGAAGCTAGAGAAAGAGAACCAAGAATCCACAAAACTTTCACCAAATAACAAGTAACAGCAGTCTACTACTGGAAGAGAGGCTAGAACACAAAATGAGGTTCCCTCTGTGTTGCATGCACACAAAGCTAAGAGTGGACAGCAATACTGAGAAAACCCCTGTGGGACTTAAGGCCACAGTAAGCATAAAGTAGTGGCAGTCCACCACTGGAGAAATGTGAAGCCTGTGGTGCAGAGAAGATAACCATGGCAACAGCAAAACCTAAACTCCAATCAACAAAGACTAGATTGACTCAATGGCCTATACCAGGGGTCAGGAAACTTTTGAGACGGAAGAGCCGCCAGGGGTCAGCAAACTGCAGCTCGTGAGTCACATGCGGCTCTTTGGGTACGTACATGTGGCTCTGAAGTAAAATTGAAAATGAAAATAAAACTATCATAGTTTTATTTATAAAAAATTTAAAGGATATTATTCACATAATGGTGATCATGTAAAAATATATTTATGGCTCTCAAATAATTTTTAAATTGTTGTAAGGAACAGGATTGGCTCTTCCAGGGATCGGCAAACTTTTGAGATGGAACGTACCCAAAGAGCTGCACGTGGCTCATGAGCCACAGTTTGCCGACCCCTGGCCTATACTAAAGCCATAACATAAGAAACATGACCATTTATAGGTATAAATATCATTTACCTCACTCACTACTGCTCTTTTATACACAATGTCCACTGTTCAATCAAAGATTATCATACACACACACACACACACACACACACACACACACACAATGAAAAAAAGATACAACTCATTGTAAAGAGATAAAAGAGGCAACAGAACCAGATGCAGAGATAGCCAAAATGTTGGAACTATCAGTTAGAGACTTTAAGATAACAATGATGAATATGTTAAAGGATGTAGTAGAAAAGGTGGACTTCCAAGAACAGATAGGAAATTTCAAGAGAGCAACAGAGGGACTAAGAAAAGTCAAGTAGAAATGAAAATCTCAATATCAGTGATAAAGAGTTTCTTCAATGTATTAATCAGCAAACCAGACACAGCAAAGTAATCAGTGAACTTGAATATAGAGCAATATAAATTATCCAAATTGAGACACAAAGAGTAAGAAGAATGAAAATTAAAAAAAAAAAACGAATACCCAAGAACTGTGGCACGAGAGCAAATGGTCTAATATACATGTAATTGGAGTCTCAGGTGAAAGAAAAAGAACAGAGAAGAAATATTTGAAAAACTAATGGCCAAAATTTTACCAAAATTAAGGAAAGACAACAAAAAACAGATCCAAGAAACTCAGTGACATAAATACAAAAAAACAAACAAACAAAAAAAAACACATCTAGACATACCATAGTCAAACTGCTACAAAACCAAAGACTAAGAGGAAACTGTGCAGGCGGCCACAGGAAAAAAAGAATAAGCTGTTGATGCAGGTAACACGTGAATGAATCTCGACATCTGCTAAGTGAAAGAACTCAGACACAAAGGACCCTATGATTCCACTTATATGATCTTCCAGAAAGTCAAAACCATTGTGTTAGAAAGCTGATTAGTAGTTTCCAGGGGGTGGGGAAAAGGAAGTGGCTACAAAAGGACGCAAGGCAACTTTTCAGGGTGATAGAAACATTCTATATATTGATTTTGATACACGTGTATGAATATATACAATTATATGCATTTGTCAAAACTCATTAAACTGCACTCCAAAAGGGCGAGTATTGTTGTTTGTAAAGTATACCTCTATAAAGCAGGACTTTAGAAAATCAAAACAAAATAGACTGAGAGGACAGAAAAGAAAAGGAAAGCGGGGGGGGGGGAGCTAATCTTCCTCCTCTTGTGAGAGACAAAGTCACAAAAAACTCACAGAGCTTCAAGGAGGGACAGCCACAAAACTCAAAACACCTATTTGATGGTGGTGGCGGAGGGAAGTAGTTAAGATCATGGGCTTTAATTTTTCCACCATTGGGTTTGCAAAGATCTGAAATATGACAGCACCCAGTGAAAAACAGGCACACTCCCCTCCCTGTGGGAATGTCAAGAGTCTAGCTTTTCCAAGGGAATTGGTTGGTGATATGTACAGACTTTTTATTCTGAATATCCTCTGACCCAAGAAACCCATTTTTATGAATCTATCCTATGGAAATAATAAGGCAAGCCAGAAACATATACATAGAAAGAAAGATATTTATAATACCATCATTAATAATAAAGAAAAATGGAAAACTATATAAATGTCTATCAATAGAGGAAGAGTTAAATAAATTACAGTTCACTGCCACTGTGGAAAACAGTTTGGCAGTTTCTTATAAAACTAAGTATGGGGCTGGCCGAGTGGCGCGATGGTTAAGAACTGGCTTGGGATGCCAGAGGGCCCCGGTTCAGATCCCACATATGAGGGCCAGTGACACTGCCCTC